GAATGAAAGCTCTTTGTTATCATTCCTCCATTAGACTGTAAGCTCCTCACAAACAAGGCGGTGCTTAATTCATCTGTGATTTCCCAATGGCTACCACCATATTTGGTAAGGATTCCTACATATTAAGCATGTATGGTATAACCTCTTTTGCAACTACTGTTGTCTTTTCCACTTTGGGGTTCAAAGCTCTCCAACTACTTGCGTTCTCTGATAAGACCACTCATACTTGTTAAGTTGGAGCCAGAGGCCTGAGCACTCACTGGTGTCACACATTGGAGTGCCAACACCATAATCTATGGAGAACACCAATAGCACCCACCTGTGAGCCAGGACTTGGGAGTGTGGATGTGGAGTGTTGCCCAAGCCTGCGTGTCCTGCTTCCAACTCTGCAGCGGAGAGGGGGGCTACATGTCTCAGGAGCAACAGGAGGCTGAGCAGTTCATTACTGACCTGAGTGGTCCCAGGGGGTTCAGAGAGGGTCTCCCCAGGACACAGACCTGGAGGCCAAGTCTCTATGCAGTTACAAGAGGCTGGATACTCAGGCTACTTGGAAATTATCATACTACCACCTAAATATGATAAACATGCTTACCAAGGAAAAGAATTTATAAAATAGGTGGGAAAAAATAGCAAGCCCAAATTGTACATTTGCCCCATAATTACAACTACAGAAAAATGATGTGCATTTGGATAGGCTGAGAGGAAACCCAAAGACGTGAAAATAATTACTGTTAAGGTAGTGGTATCATGGGTGAATTCTTCTAAATTTATTTCTTAGAATCTTTTAAAGTTGATACAGTAATGAATCAAAAATAAATGACCTTCCATCTCCAAGCAGGCTTTTTTGAAAGAAAGAAATAAATGGTCATGTCTAGACTCTAAGGAAATAGACCCTAATCCACCACTATGGTTTGGAGGGAAAAGCCTTCTTAGATTGGGATCAGAAAACCTGGATCTTGGCACCGGCTCAGCCAAATCCTCTCTCTAAGGTTTCAGAAGTCATTTAACCTAAACCTCTCTGTGAAATCCAGCAAAAGGATTTAGGATAGAATTCTTTTTTTAAGATTTTTAATTTCTACACCCAACGTGGGGCTCAAACTCACAAACCCAAGATCAAGGGTCTCACGGTCCACCTACTGAGCCAACCTGATGCCCCTAGGACAGAATTCTTAAACACTCTCCTGGGCGTTCTATAATGTAGTCGGTCCTACTTTTTTACATGTAGCGTATCATTATAAAGTCCCATGAATGAACTTTTACCAAACACATCAGAACTCAAAAATGGGAGAGAATCATGTGGCCCCCTTCAGACCAGTTCTATTTATTCCTGCAAAGAGCCACCTCCTCTTTGTCCTCCAAAGCCTGTTCTATATGATAGTTCACATCTTCAGTTGGGCCCATTTTTCTCTCCTTTGAGGCAGAATGTAACTTCCAGAAACAGCTGAGAGGGCCTTGGTATGAAATCTGGTGAGTAATACAGGTGATCAGGCTGAACACTAACATTCTAGGTCATAAAGGAAGTAAGAAAAATAGATTTTCTTAAACGGTCATTCAGAAGTGCTCTGTACATACATTAATGACATTGTTCCCCGATGACAACTCCAAAGGGGGGGCTGACTTCACTGGGAGGTACAGCTGCAGGTTCCAAGGCTTGTCAAAACTAATACTTCTATTTTAGGGAGCACTTTTGATTAGTTCTGCTTCTCTCAAGTGTAGCTGTCATAAAGACAGGTGAAAAAAAACAAAAAACTTTGCTAGGATGCCCCAAAACCTTTTGTCTCTGCCAAAATAAATGTGAGGTTGAAATTCAAAACACAATTTGTTTACCATTATTACAGAATGTGCTTGTAAGGCCAAGATGTTTATTTTTAATACCTTTGGCATTTAACCTATAACCCGTTATTGCTCTGTAAATATTTAAGTCCCAGGAAGGTAAAAAAAAAAAAATTAAAAACTCACCACTTTAATCACGTATTGATGAAAACATAATTGTTGCATCTTTGTAAAAAAAATAATGGATGACTCATACTTGGAAAATCATGACTGTACATAATTTCTACATATTCCATAATGAAGCTCATAAAACTTTGCATTTGTATACAGGGTTCAAAATATTTCTGCTTTTTGAAACTGATGAAGAAAGCTTTCACAAGTTCTTACCAAGTAATGAGACCCAATCCCTTCTCATTAGGAGAGGCAAAGTACTGCATGTTCTCTCTTTTATTTAGTCTCACATGAGCTCATGACATTAACACTGAATACAGGAGCAAAAAGTCAGATTCCAAGTCATATTTACCAAAATGCTCATTATCTAGCCCCAATAAGAACCCCTGAGACAGACCTCAAATTCATGAGATTCAACTGGGAAAGGGGTAATAACAGAGGTCCAGCATGCAGTATAGGGGAGGGGGGCATTTTCACCCAAAGAGGGGGGTGATGAGTTAAGAAAGAGAAATTCAATTTACAGCCTCACCACTCACACAACTTATATACCTACACTGGTGTTTTATATAGCTCTGAATCTGGATGCAGATTTTCCCTGTTGATAGCTTGGAGGTTCCATGTGCTAAAAATACCAGGCAACTCCCTCTCTTAAGGGAAACCCAGTGGGAAGGTGTGGATGTATCAATAAAACACCATTACTGGTATATAACTAAAGCTTAGACATTCCTGGTGAGCGAATGGAAGTGGTTCTCAGGGATACCACTCTGAGATTTACAATAGAGGGGCTGCAAACAGCTGACCTGCAGGTGTTCAGCCTCTCAGCAATGACCAGAACACTTTAAAAATTAGCTGGTCCGGCGTTAACAATTTGGATTTCCAGCTTCCCTTGAAATATGTAATATGGAGGCGTCTGGGTGGCTCAGTGGTTAGGCGTCTGCCTTCGGCTCAGGTCATGATCCTGGGGTCCTGGGATCGAGCCCTGCATCCGGCTCCCTGCTCGGCAGGAAGCCTGCTTCTCCCTCTCCCACTCCCCCTGCTTGTGCTCCCTCTCTCGCTATGTCTCTGTCAAATAAATAAATAAAATCTTTAAAAAAAAAAAAGAAATATGTAATATGGTCGGTGCAACCATGGTAATACAGTAGATATAACTAACCATGGCTTAAGGTCAAGTAAGGGTGCCTGTTTATTATTTATTTATTTTTTTTTTAAGATTTTATTTATTTATTTGACAGACAGAGAGACAGCGAGAGAGGGAACACAAGCAGGGGGAGCGGGAGAGGGAGAAGCAGGCTTCCTACCCAGCAGGGAGCCCGATGCGGGGCTCCATCCCAGGACCCTGAGATCATGACCTGAGCGGAAGGCAGACGCTTAACGACTGAGCCACCCAGGCGCCCCAAGGATGCCTTTTTAGAGGGGCATATTTACTCCCTAGGGGCCAGCCTCACCCCATCAAAAATTGTAACCTGTAGATATTTGAGTTTGCAACCACTGATAAAGCTGAAACACCCAGCAAGAGTGTGGGGGCGGCGGCCTTCACCTTCCGCAACTGTCTCCTTTCTCCACTCCTCGTTCCTCTCCACTGGCTTTCCCTTTGTGCCCTGCGCCCACCAAACTTTTCCCATGAGGCTGGCCAACTCACACTGGGCCCTAGATGGTGTCGTGAACTCCAGATCTTTCCCTAACCCCACTGCGTCCATCAAAACTTTTCTGGGGGTCCCTGGCTGGCTCTGATCAAGACAGCGACTCTTGATTTCAGGATTATAAATTTGAGCCCTATGCTGGGTGTAGAGATTACTTAAAAATAAAATCTTAGGGATGCCTGGGTGGGTTAGTCGTTAAGCGTCTGCCTTTGGTTCAGGTCATGATCCCAGGGTCCTGGGATGGAGCCCCACATCGGGCTCCCTGCTCAGCAGGAAGCCTGCTTCTCCCTCTCCCACTCCCCCTGCTTGTGTTCCCTCTCTCGCTGTGTCTCTCTGTCAAATAAATACATAAAATCTTTAAAAAATAATAATAAAATAAAATAAAAATAAAATCTTAAAAGAAAAACAAAAAACTTTTCTGTACTTCAACCCAATTTTTTGTTTTGTTTCGATTTTGTATTACGTCTTTTTGGCCAGGAAACTATTAGCAAATCTGATAAACTGATCAGGGGGAATGGACTAGGTTACCTTCCCAGAAAACATATTTGAAATGGATTCCAGGCTTTCTAAATACATGCCCTGCCTTCACCCAAAAGAACTTAGCTTGTAGTCAGCTATCTGACTGATGCCTAAGTTCCTAAGTCTATTCCCGTGTATTTTTTATAACATCTGCAATTTACTCATAAGTAATATGTGTAAGTGAGGAAAAAGGGATGTATCCTGACCACAGTCTGAGGGGATGGCCAATTCAGATTTACTTAAATATTTCAGTATATTTAAGTTCAGAGGAGGCCTATGAATAATAATTTCTGTATTCAAAGTAGATAGCAGAGCTACAGACATGGGCTCCAGCCCATTAGACCGCCCAAACTGTCACAGCCACAAAGAAGAACGTCCTTTGTAAATGATAAGGCCAGATGCTACAAAGGAAATCTTAGTAGGGTATGATCCTTAATTAAAGACAAAGGAGACTATTGTACCGTCCTAACCAAGGTACACTAAATTATAAAGACATGCAGAGATTTTTTTGTTTTTCAGTTCTTCAAGTTTCCTACAGAAAAAGGTACAAAGTAATATTGCCTGGTAGTGTTGTTACTTCTCCAAAGATGGAGAAAAGTGTTCCAGAGCGAACTTTCAGGAAAAAGCTAGAAGGTGAACTGTAAACTGGATACTGTGCTCATGAATCAGAAAATGACAATATTCCTTATGAGTCACAACTGAATGAGTCTTGGTGGCTGTGGGGACGGGTGGAGAGGCTTCCTCACGTGCTACCAGACTTCCTAAAAGATCACACACACAAACACGCAAACAACAGAACAGGTGCTCTCTCTACCTCCCAGTCAAGGGCCGGAGGAATTATATTCTCCAGGCTAACGCTCAGCCACACCCACTGAAGGCAATGCCCCTTCTCTTCCTGTTCTAAGCAGCTGAAGGATGCAGCTGGGCAGACCCAGACAGATGTGAAACACAAAATGAAGTCTCATTTGGCTTGAAAGCGTCTTATAAAAACAGTAACATTATTACTGAGGTTTCTATTTAAGATGGGTGATGCTCTGTTCTCAGACCTCACATAGCCAATGAACAATTTCTCAAGCCAGTGAAGAAATGATTCATTTCATTTTTGCAGGTTACTCTACACCTAGTCGATTGAGCGATGGCACATCTCCGATTTCAGGACAGCAGGTGTTTCAACTTTTTTCTGATGCCTTGAAAGTCTCCTGGACGCCCACATCAGGGCCACCTATGCTGCTGGCAGGGAACCCATCAACAGGTAAGTCACTCCCTGTCCTTCCACAGACACACTACACAACTCTGGAAACAATTCTCTTCCTTAGGACATGCATCCTCTGCACCCATTTGATCAATCATCTTCTTCAAAAGTAATGCAGCAGAACTGAGTGTGGAGATTCCAGGGTCTCCAGAAAAGGTATGGTAGCTACTTGGTCGTGCATCCAGCAAGAAAAATGAATTAACTAAGGGAAAGTTAATTTTCCCAAGGTAGCACTTGAGTATTTGAATTCAGTTAAGTTTTTTTAAGTCCTTGACATAAACACATTGATTTTCTTTTTTCTTTTATAGAAATATTGAACCACGGAAAATAATTATAGCAATTCCAAAGTACTAGGACTATCACATTGCTCAAATTCAAGTGGCCAATTAGGTAGTGGCCCAATTAGGTAGCTCCTCCACCCAACCACACACTCAGTGTAAGTAAATGGTTCTCTTACAGGGGTTCCAAAAATAACGTAGGTTAGACTGATTTCTTAAAACCTGAAACTTAAAGAGGAAATTTATTTACAGATCAAGTGTCCTCTTAGGGAGAAGCAGAGGTGACACAATTTTGGACTACGTAAAAAGCAAAAGCTTCTGTCAAAGATGCCCTTTTAAAGACTGTTTTGTTTTTAAGCATTCTTTTGAATAAACACAGCAGAGTCTAGAGCTGCTTTCGAGTTTTGTATGTACGTTCGGATGGGCCTTTGCTACCTTTCTCAGGCTGGTCATGCGGGATAGATTTTTAAACTGGTGTTGTACTAGTTATCGTTTTGACTTAACTCCACATTCACGGTCATTAAAACGGAACAAAACAAACCAGAAGAGGATCAGGTCATCCACCCAAGCAGGGTTCTTTGAAAAGAAGCAAGTGTGAAAAATATTAAGCCTTGTAGTAGAACTTTTTTTTTTCTTTCTTTCTCGGATGGACTGTCAATCTCTTCAAAATCGAGTCCTTGCCTTTGTGCTTCGGGAAGAGACGCACACCACACCAAGACCCGGGGGATGCGGTTCAGGTAAATGGGGGGCGGAGTGGCTATTGGGGGCGGGTAGAGGAAAAGTCAGAACCGAGTTAGAGAAAAAGTCAGCCACTTCCATGTATTCCCAAAGTGCCAAAGGAAAAAGAACAAAACACTCGACTTCCTCCCGTGCGACCCGTTCGCTGTACACCCGAAAAGCCCCAGTCACCTCGCCCTCGGGGAAGCGGTGGGGGGGGCGGGGGGGGGTGTTTACTCGGCCTCTCCGGCGCAAAGACCCAACGGGCGGGCCGGCGCCCAGCGAAGTCCCGGCCCGCGAGGCTGCCGGCGGCGCCCGGCCTCTTTCGCTGTCAGCCGCCCGCCCAGCGCCAGGTGCTCGCCCTACCTGGCGCCCCCGCCGGCCTTTGTGCGGCCGCTCCGCCCCCGCCGGCGTGCGGCTGCCAGGCGGGACAGCTGCGGGCGGCGCAGGGGGGCGGGGAGGCGGGGAGGCGGGGAGGCAGCCGGCGCCCGTGCCCGCCGGCGGGGAGGGGAGCGCGGGGCGCGCAGGGGAGGGGGCGCGGCGAGCCGGCTGCCGCGCCGCGGAGCCGCGATCCCCGCCGCGGCGGGCGGGACCGCAGGGGCACCGGCGCTGCTCCACCGTCCCGGCAGGAAGAGAGGGGTCCCCTCCGAGGGCCGCGCCCCCGAGCGCAGAGCTGCTCACACGCTGGCTTCCGACAGCTGGCAGCCTTAGCAACCCGGCCACAAAAAAAGTTTCGCGGCGCCGAGAGCGACTTGAAAGAAAGTTTTCCTTGGCCCCTCACGCCCTCTCCCCCAGCCAGGGTTTACGGAAAGCGGCGGGCAGTCAGAGCTCGCGACGTGACGACTCCCGCGTCCACCTTCTCCACCCCTGGCCTGGACTGCGCGCCCAAGGTGGGTGCCCCGCGCCGGCGCTTCCTGCCCCATCCCAGGCTCAGGCGTCCCGGGACGCCGCGCGGCCAACTCACCATGGTGACTCGCGCCGCGGTCGCGCCTCTGCCCGGTCCGGCTGCCGGGGAGCTGGGGCTGGAACGCAGGCTCCTGGGCGAACTTCAAAAAGTTGGTCCCCTTCGCCAAAAACAGGCTCTCGACACCCAAGCACTCACAGGAGCCAATGGGAACCCTGGAGGGATTCCATCCAGGCGGGATCGGCGGCGCTAGGTGAGGGCGAGTAGGAGGCGACTTAGCAGGCGGGGCACATGCTGCCGAAGGCAGGGGTCCCCTCGGACCAGGCACTCGCCGCCCGCCTAGGTGAGTCCGATGCTCTCCGTGCGTCTGCCTAGCTGCCCAAGCTCGCTCCTTCTTTCTTCGGCCACTGACTCTGTACTCCTCCGGCAGAGCCTCGGCTCGGGCTGGGCAATCTGTCCATAAATGGAGAATTCAGCTCAGGCCTGACCAATCAGGGTTTGTTTTCACAGCGTCACTCCTCAGGGAAACCGTGGTAGCCAACAAGCTTGGGGCTGCTCGAGTTTCCAAAGACCTCTGGATCCTGTAGTCCTCCACGCTAGCTTCCAAAGAGCGCTGCTGTCCCGGCTCGCTCCCGGGTGCAAGACCTCAACTGTTGGAGCAAAACCCTCCGTGAAAGAGAGGTAAGCCTCTCTCTCTCTCTCTTTTTTTTTAACGCGAAAATTACAGTAGGTGTGGCTTCCAAACTGAAGTGGTTTGATTTTCCCATAACTTTTTTTTTTAAGAAGGAAATATTTTATCAGCATAAAAGATCAGAGTCGTGGCAGCCGCCCAAAGGAAATCCTTTTTCTTTCCAACGTCTGGATTGTGAGGAAAGTCAAAAATATCATTTCCCCTACCCCTCCTTTTACCTGAACTTCCTTAGAAAACAAAGGAAGGCTTTTTTTTCCCCCTCTGTCCCTCTCTTTTGGACTTTTGAGTGGTGGAGAAGTTGCAGTGCAGTGAGCAGAGGGACAGAGGAAAGATGGGGGGGCGGGGGAAGCACCATCCAACCTTAGTCAACCCTAGCCATTGCAAATACTTAGCAGTACAACCCTAACTGCAAAGGTGAGTTATTCCAGAATGTGGAGTTTTAAGGCATCGGGTGGGCAGTGAGGAGATTGGAGGTGGGGGAAGAATCCTGAAATAAGGTAGAGAGTCTGGTTTTATTGTTTTAAGAGTTCAAAAGGTAACCTTGGTGGGTTACAACAGGACTGTCCTCCCAGGATCTGTGGTAGGTAAGAGTTGAAAACTTCTGACCTAACAGACCCATGAAAAAGTGCTCAACATTGCTCGGCATCAGGGAAATCCAAATCAAAACCTCCATGAGATACCACCTCACACCAGTCAGAATGGCTAAAATTAACAAGTCAGGAAACGACAGATGTTGGCGGGGATGCGGAGAAAGGGGAACCCTCCTCCACTGTTGGTGGGAATGCAAGCTGGTGCAGCCACTCTGGAAAACAGTATGGAGGTTCCTCAAAAAGTTGAAAATAGAGCTACCCTACGATCCAGCAATTGCACTACTGGGTATTTACCCCAAAGATACAAATGTAGGGATCCGAAGGGGTATGTGCACACCAATGTTTATAGCAGCAATGTCCACAAGAGCCAAACTGTGGAAAGAGCCAAGATGTCCATCGACAGATGAATGGATAAAGATGTGGTATATATACACAATGGAATATTATGCAGCCATCAAAAGGAATGAGATCTTGCCATTTGCAATGACGTGGATGGAACTGGAGGGTGTTATGCTGAGTGAAATAAGTCAATCAGAGAAAGACATGTATCATATGACCTCACTGATATGAGGAATTCTTAATCTCAGGAAACAAACTGAGGGTTGCTGGAGTGGGGGTGGGGTGGGAGGGATGGGGTGGCTGGGTGATAGACACTGGGGAGGGTATGTGCTATGGTGAGCGCTGTGAATTGTACAAGACTTGAATCACAGATCTGTACCTCTGAAACAAATAATGGAATATATGTTAAGAAAAAAAAGAAGAAGATAGCAGAAGGGGAAGAATGAAGGGGGGGAAATCGGACAGGGAGATGAACCATGAGAGACGATGGACTCTGAAAAACAAACTGAGGGTTCTAGAGGGGAGGGGGGTGAGGGGATGGGTTAGCCTGGTGATGGGTATTAAAGAGGGCACGTTCTGCGTGGAGCACTGGGTTTTATGCACAAACAATGAATCATGGCACACTACATCAAAAACTAATGATGTAATGTATGGTGATTAACATAACAATAAAAAAATTTAAAGAAAACTTCTGGCCTAGGAGAAAGTATGAAGCATAATGATTTACTGTGATTTACTTTATGAACTTTGGTGGTAGACCTTCACTTGATGCTAGAGTTGGTATGCATGTTAAAAATCATCTTGCTTGGAATGGGTAAACAAAATGTGCTATATCTATACAATGGAATACTATTCAGCCTTTAAAAAGAAAAGAAGTGCTCACACGGGCCACAACATGAACAGACCTTGGACACATTATGTTAAACGAAAGAAGCCAGGCACAAAGACCACATATTATCTGATTCCATTTACATAAGTGTAAAGAATAGGGAAATCTATAGGGAAAAGTAAATTAGTGATTGCCAGGGGCTGGGAGGAGAGGAGGTTGGGAGTAATTACTAATGAGTTTGCGTTTTCTTATTGGGGTGATGAAAATATTCTGGAATTAGATAGTGTTGATGGTTGTACAACTTTGTGAATATGTGGAAAGTCACTGAATTATACATTTTAGAAGGGTATGTAAATTGTACCTCCATTTTAAAAATTGAAAGACACAATCATGTTGACTAAATTCTTCTAGTAATCATCCACACAGTCAGGCAATAGATATGATTGAATGCCTACTATAGGTAAGCACAGCAGCTGTGAGTACAATGGTTTCTTGCCTCACCAAGCTTACAATTTTAGAAGGAGCAAGACAGGAGATAATTTTTTTTAAAGATTTTATTTATTTATTTGAGAGAGCACAAAAGCGAGAGAGATGGGGAAGCAGACTCACCGCTGAGCAGAGAGCCCGACACGGGACTTGATCCCAGGACCCTGAGACCATGACCAGAGCTGAAGGCAGATGCTTAACCGATTGAGCTGCCCAGGCGCCCCAGAAGATAATTTTAAAACAATAAATAACTATAGGAAAGGTACAAATATAATGAGAAGTGACAGTGGTTTTGTGCAAGGAACTGCTGTACTGGGAGCTACAGTTTAGGTTAGAGAATTCATCTGGCAGCAATCTGTAGCATGAACTGGACAGGAAACAGGACATATCTGTCGAGCACTCACTCTGTACTAGGCACTGGGGAGGTACAAACAGACAGGACCCACCAAATTCCCAGGGAAACTGATTCCGTGTTTCAGGGGCATGCCAGAAAATAATCAGGTATCTTAGGAACTAATGAACAGAGATTACCAAAAGGAATATTGGAGCTTACCAGTTATACAAGAAGCACTGCTTATGTTGTAAATGACATGTTACCTAAGCCACCATCCCATCCACAGTCATCCCTGATTAGTAATTGGGTTGACATGGGCTTCCAGAGAGACAGGCAAAGATTTGGTTGTTTTCCCTGGTAAACCAGGGATACAATGAGACACTGAAAAATCTTTCAATAATCCAACAACAATTTATCAATCTTGACACTAAATGTTGTTTTTATTAACATTTGAGGTTTTTTTAAATGCTTACGTTTTTTTTTTTAAGTAGGCTCCACACCCAGCATGGAGCCCAACACAGAGCTTGAACTCACAACCCTGAGATCAACACCTGACCTGAGATCAAGAGTCCAATGCTTAACCGACTGAGCCACCCAGGCACCCCTAACTGCCCTAATAATCTCTTTCTAGTTTTAAGAGGTAATTCCAATAGGTGGAACTCTGATGAAGATATATGCTTGTGTTCATTTTTCATGATTTTGTAATATGATTCTTTTCCAGATTGAAATATAAATATATAAATATATATATATATAAATTTGTATGGTGGAGTGCCTGGGTAGCTCAGTCAGTTAAGCATCCGAGTCTTGATCTCAGCTCAGGTCTTGATCTCAGGGTCATGAGTTCAAGCCCTGTGTTGGGCTCCATGCTGGGCATGGAACCAACTTAAAAAAAAATTGCGTGTCTAAGCAGTACTTAGATTATAAGATTTAGTGGCACATAAAGGTGAATTTGAAGTCTGGCTCTTTCACTTAACTAGCTGTGAGGTCGTAATTTTTCTGTGCTTCAATTCCTTTATCTGTAAAATACATTGATGTGCGTATGAAATGAAATACCTGTAAAGATGGCCAACAAATATTCGTTCCTTTCTTCTGCCACCTGCCATGTGTTCTAGGTCAGGGATTCAGGCCTAGGTCCCTGGGTAGATCAGACAGATTGCGGCCGTCTGAATTATATGCCAAGTCGTGGGGGCTTCTGTGTGTGCCCTTTCCTTCAGGGAGAGTTAATAGCTTTCATCAAATTCTCAAAGATGTCATTAACTGCCAAAACATTATTAAGACCCACAGCTCTTGATCACATTAGTTATGGCTTCCTGGATCTTTGTCTTTGTGTTTTTCTTGAGGTATAGGGATTAGAACTGAGTCCAATACTATAAGGGCAGAGCTTGGATTCTCAAAGCAGAACCCATAATTCACATTTTCAACATAGAATATAGAGTATGAGCGTGTGATAGAGCCTATCATTTCACAAAAAATCCCTTCAAGCCCTGCCCTGCTCCTTCCCCATCTTAGGAAGATAAATTGTCAGTTTTATGCCCTGGTTTATGTGGGAGAGTCCTGGTTTATGCCTTTATCTCAGTGAAATTATTAATGGAACCCCTCTTGCATTCCCCAAACGGCCTGATAATTTGAATGATCGATTATGGTCTCCCTAAACTTTTGGCCAAATTGCAGCCGCCCCCCCAAAATTCTCGCTTTATAAAGCTTTCCCAATTTTTTTGATTTACACCTATTTTTGAGAGGACTCATCAATATCGATATATTACCCTATATTCTTTGTTATTCGAGCTCATAGTAGCAATGAAATGAAAACAACTTTTAAAACTGTAAAACTCATTATAGACACATGATGGAGCTAGTCAGATGAGACTCTACACATATGTGGGCATGATTAAAAATGCAGTTTTATCTGGGCTTGAATGAAAAGGAACAAAGAAAAAAATCCAAATGGAGACAAAGCACGATTCCGTATGAATCTAGCAGTGAAAACAGTCACTGCTTATATATTTTGGAAAACAATCAGTAAAAAGATAAAATAAGTCAATGAAACTAGTTTCCATGTCAGTACCATAAGAGAACATCAGAATGCATTCACAACAATACAATTAAAGAAAAATTTGTTAATGGGAAAATTAGGCCAGAAATTTTTACCAAAGCACTAGTGAAAGAGATGCTTATATCACATTGATGTGGGATGTCCTGGGCACTCACTATTTCTACCATAACAGGTATTTGTTAGGTTCAGTAGGTATTAGCTCTGAGCTAAGTGCTTACCATATAATATCTTATCTAGTCTTCCATACAACCGTATTAACTTCATTTGCAATTAAGAAACTAAGCTGAGGTTTGCAATTCCCATAAAGAAGAGTGGCAAGACGAAGGGCCGTTCTGCCACCAACAAGGTGACCGGAGAATACACCATCACTGTTCACAAGTGCATCCGTGCAGCGAGTGTCAAGAGGTGTGCCCCTTGGGTATTCAAAGAGACCCAGAAATTTTCCATGAGGGGAACGGGAACTTCAGATGTGTGCATTGATACCAGGTGGAAAAAAGCTCTCAGGGCCAAAAGAATAAGGAATGTCTCATCCCATATCGGTATGCGGTTGTCCAGAAAATGTAATGACAATGAAAATTCACCAGACAAACTCAGGTTACCTGTGTACCTGTCACCACTTTCAAAAATCTACAAAAAAAAAAAAAAAAGAAGAAGAAGAAGAAAGAAAGAGAAAAAACAAAGAAACGAACTGAGTTTGAAGTAACTTGCCCAAGCTATCACTCAGCTTTTCTGCATAGAATCTACATATTTGCCTGACTCTGAAGCCCCCAACTCTTACGCTATAAGCAGTAACTCCATAGTAAGAATGTCCTACTACAAATTTCAGAAGGAATTTTCCCTGATGTGGCCCCAATATGAATAGGAACCCTGGGAGCCTCTCCAAACCAGGGCTCCTGGAAAAATTCTTGCTTCTTTTATGAGAACTAAAAATCATATTTATATTAAAAAATTACATTTGTGTAGAGAGTTTAACTCAACTTTAAACATCTTTGTTCTTTTCCTAATATGTTAATATT